CCCCGGGGCTCCGCCGCCGCCGCTCCTCCGGCCGGCCGGGCGACGACTCTCACGAAGATCGGGTCTCCCCGATCTTTTGTACACTCTTCGAGAGTGTACAAAAGATGGGTTTTTTTTACAGTTTTTTTTTTATTGTCTTGAAGTAGTTGTACAAAGAGGTTAACATCGAACCAATCCGTTTATAACTACAAAGCATCTTCATCGATGTCACCCCTTCCATCACCCTGTCGCCCCTTCCATCCCTCCTAACCCGGAACAGTCCTTGCATAACCCAGCCATTACCTTGACATTGTGCTGTGTGACACTACAAATGTTGCAGGCATATCCATTTTTTTTTCTCCTCTCCCCACCTAACAGACCACTAATTAAGTTAGGAAACAGTCGGGTTATCTTCAAGATAGATTCTCAAAGATAGACAGCTCAAAGGTTGGTTTGCCTGAGGAAGGGCCTCCAAGCTAATTAAAAGGGGAAATGTCTTTAAAAATCTTCCCTGAGTTTAGAGAAATTACAGTCTGATGCTGTTTGACACTTACGTAATAGCGCTTCTTAAAAATGAAATGATAGCTAAAAACAAATTCCACTGCGTGAGCGCCATAGTTTCAAAAATATGTGTATGCAGAAACAAACAGTTGAACTAAAAAGTTGACTAAGCTCCACCTGAGGTGTTGCTGAAAATCATTATGGTTTTCTGTGGTTATCTTTTTTTTTTTTTCTTGCCAGTCCGATGGCTTGATTCAGGGCCTGGGCACTGTCCCTGAGCTTATTTTGCTCAAGACTAGCACTCTACCACTTGAGCCACAGTGCCACTTCCAGCTTTTTCTGTTTATGTGGTACTAAGGAATCAAACCCAGGGCTTCTTGGGCTGGGAAGGTGGCTCAGTGGTAGAGCGCTTGCCTTGCATGCATGAGGCCCTGGGTTTAATTCCTCAGCACCACATAAGCAGAAAAAAAAAAGCCAGAAGTGGTGCAATGGCTCAAGTGGTAGCGCGTGGTGCAATGGCTCAAGTGGTAGCGCGCTAGCCTTGAGCTGAAGAGCTGAGAGACAGCACCCAGGCCCAGAGTTCAGGCCCCCACAACCAGAAAAAAAGAAAAAAAAAAAAAAACCAGGGCTTCAAGCATTCTACCACTAAGCCACATTCCCAACCCTATGGTTATCTTTTTTATTCGTTTTTAACATTACCAGGTGGTGGCAGGAGAGGTGCCAACATCATTGCCCTACCTTCATTTTATGAAGGCTATTTATAAATACTATACCCAACTAACATTTTATCCGGAAGTTGGACATAATCCCATAAACTGACCTTCCTCGGCGACTTATAGTGGTAGAATTATATAACTTCCTTATGGAAAATAATACAAATGCCATAACAAAAATTGTCTCTAAAAGATGAGTGTATTCTGTTGTAATTGAAATGAATTTATGTGTAAGTAAATATAAGCAAATTTTGGCTCAAGTATCCAACATTATTATTTGTCAGAAAATTGCAGAACCACAGTGGGCCATTATAGACTCACTAAAATGGCCAAAATTCAAATAAAATGTTGGCAAAGATGTGAAATAATTAAAATTCTTGCACAACATAGTAACTCTGCAAATTAGTATAACTATTGTGGAAAATTGTTGGAGATTTCTCTTTTTTGTCTTAAACTGTTATTAATTTATTTATTGACAATTTCTTTTAGGGCTAACATACTCTACCGTAAACTACGCAGTATTTATAGTGTGTTTTTGTTGTTTTTTAATAGCCAGAAACTAGCAGCAAAGCCATATACTGGTAGCTCAAACCTGTAATTCTGCTACTCAGGAGGCTGAGATCTAAGCCAACTTAGTCAGGAAAGTCCATGATACTTTTTTTTTAATCATATTTTTAATATATGTAAGTAGTTGTACAAAAAAGTTACCATTCAACTATTTTATAAGTACAATGTGTTTTGATTGATGTCACCCCTTTCATCATTCTCCCTCAACTGTGAGACTCTTAACCACAAAAAAAAAGCTGGAAATGGAGCTGTAGCTTAAGTGGTAGATTGCTAGCCTTGAACAAATTAGCCAAGGGATGATACCCAGGCCCTGAGTTCAAGCCTCAGTAATGCCGGGGGACCTAAAAACAACTTAGATCACTTGGCAAATGGATAAACAGATTGCATGTCCATGCAATGGAATGTTGATAATAAAACAGAACAAACCAGAGATATCTATAAACATAGGTAAATCTCAAGTACAGGTTGAGCAGAAGCTACTGAACTCATGTGATATCTCATCAAGATTAAGTCTAGGTCAAGCACGACTAATATGTATAACAGAAAGCTGACCAAAACCAGTGTAAGGGGGGCAGAGGCATAACTCAAGTGATAAGTCTCAGACGGTGAGTGAAAATGTCAGATCCAGTTCAAATCAGACAAGGAAAGGAAAGGGGAAATGGACTACTGTAAAATAAGTTTTTTTTGGGGGGGGGGTCCTGTCGTGGGGCCTTCAACTCAAGGCTAGTGCTCTACCACTTGAGCCACAGCACCACTTCCGGCTTTTTTCTTTTTGCTTATGTGGTGCTGAGGAATCGAACCCAGGGCCTCGAGCATGCAAGCAAGGTAAGCACTCTACCTCTGAGCCACCTTCCCAGCCCTAAAATAAGTTTTATAAGCAGTCCTTTTGATCTTGAATGGATTGGACAGATGTTTACTTTTTTTTTTTTATCTGAAACGAACACTCAAAACTCTGTACCTGATGCTTTTGTTCATCGGCTAGTGCTCTACCAACTAAGCCACAGCTCCAACCCTAGATGTTTACATTTGTTATGTAAGTTTTACTTTGATAAAGCTTACTGAAAAATTACTGGATGTGACAGATCTTCCTGTCATGGCTGCACTGGGGAAGCTTAGGCTTTTTTTTTTTTTTTGTCTGGTCGTGGGGCCTGAACTCTGGGCCTGGGCGCTGTCCCTCAGCTCTTCAGCTCAAGGCTAGCGCGCTACCACTTGAGCCACAGAGCCACTTCTGGCTTTTTTCTTTTTGCTTATGTGGTGCTGAGGAATCGAACCCAGGGCCTCAGGCATGCAAGGCAAGCGCTCTACCACTGAGCTACCTTCCCAGCTCCTTCCAGCTTTTTCTTTTTGTTTATGTGGTGCTGAGGAATTGAACCCAGGGCCTCAGACATGCAAGGCAAGCGCTGTACCACTGAGCCACCTTCCCAGCCCCCTTGAGACTCTTATCTCCAGTAAACCACCAGAAAACTGGAAGTGGCACTTTGGCTTAAGTGGTAGACCACTCACCTTGAGCTGAAGAGCTCAAGCCCCAAGACCAAAAAAAAAAAAAAAGGAATGGGGGAAGGGTAGCCTAATGGTCTTAAACACCACTGAGTCTGCAGCTTTTCTTCCAATTTAGATAAGGAAAGGATGGGTATTGAACAAGAAATAATGAAGCTGTTTCTGTTATACACAACTCTTCATTTATTGTTTCCACCAACTGAAAGGATAAGATGTATCTTGTATTTCATTTTGATTGATTGATTGTATTAATTCAAAATATTGTTGCACCAAAGATGTGCTTACTTATGGTAGGAGAAATTAGCTTCAGAACTTCGTTGTTTGGGTTAAAGACAGAACATCCAGAAGTAGAGTAGCTGCCCAAGTGGTAAAGTGCTAGCCTTGGTCACAAAAACTCAAGGGTAACACCCAGGCCTCAAGACCAGCACAAAAGAAAGAGAAGGAAAAAAAAAAAAAAAAGACAGAACATAGATCTAGGGCTAAATGCCTAGCTGCCAACCTCAGCTCCACTAATTAGCTGGGTAGACTTTCACATGTCACCTGACCTCTGTGTACTTTCCTTACCTATAAATCAGAAAAAGTAATATCCCCTACTGTGAAGTTACTATGATGATTAAAATGAGCAAGTGGAAAGTGCTGAGAACACTGGCACATAACAAGTGTTAGTTTCTATCATCATCATCATCAAAGCTCATTCAGAGCTTGTACTTGCTGAGGAAGTGGGTGCTAAAACATGATGGCCCCGTTCATCATTGTTGCTCTATTGCAGTTCGGGACTGTTTGGGATTTCCTGACTTACTACTGTAATGAAACCTCCATGCAGCCTGTGCTTTCCTTCCATTGGTTTTCTTTTTCTTTTCTTTGGTTTGCCTTACTCTTCTCTTGAAAGGAGGAGGATTTACATTTGTGGCTCAGTTAGCAAGTGTTGACTTTCACAAATACTGCTTTTTGTGTGAAAATGGTCAACTCTGCGGTATAGTGTATTAGTAGAAAACGATCATCTTACAGAATGAAGAAAATAGCCCTGTCTTATGTTATGATATTGAGTCCATGTTAATGGAATTTGATGTTAATTTGGAAATTAGGCATGCATAAGGATTTATCAGGAATTAAGCTCAGGCCGATTGAATATTACCTTTTTTTTTTTTTCTTTTTTGGCCAGCCCTGGTAGCAAGGCCTGGGTACTGTCCCTAAGTTTCTTTTGCTCAAGGCTAGCACTCTACCACTTGAGCCACAGTATCACTTCTAGCTTTTTTCTGTTTATGTTGTACTGAGGAATTGAACCCAGGGCTTCATGCATGCTAGGCAAGCTCTACCACTGAGCCATATTCCCAGCCCAAATATTACTATTTTTTAAAGCAGATTTTCTTTTATCCATTTGAGATAGGAAATCTCTTTTGTGTGTATGTGGTTATCCTGGGTCTTG